CTCCCTGCCTGCCTGGGGCAGGGCTACCTGGAGAGGCACAGACTCCCTGCCTGCCTGGGGCAGGGCTACCTGGAGAGGCACAGACATGGCTCTCAGGGGCTCTTGGAAAGCTCTCACCCACCCTCAGATTGCAGAGGGCAGCTTTTGATAAAGCATCATAAAATGTCACTGTTGAAGGCTAATGAGCCCTGCTCTGACTGCTGTGTTGCAGATTTCTGATTTTGGGCTGGCCAAGTGCAATGGGCTATCCCACTCGCATGACCTCAGCATGGATGGCCTGTTTGGCACGATTGCCTACCTCCCTCCGGAGCGCATCAGGGAGAAGAGCCGGCTCTTCGACACCAAGCACGATGTATACAGGTGTGTGACATGCCACCCCCATCCCCTCTGGGTGCCAGGGGCTCTGAACCTCAATGCTTCATGCCCTGAGCTGCAGCTTTCAGAAGGGCCTCTTACTGCCAGTCAGAAATGGGATTCAGGCCAGGTGCGGTGACTCACGCCTGTAATCCCAGCACTGCGGGAGGCCGAGGCGGGAGGATCGCTTCAGTCCAGGAGTTTGAGACCAGCCTGGCCAACATGGTGAAACCTCATCTCTACAAAAAATACAAAAATTAACCCAGCATGGTGGTGTGCACCTGTAGTCCCTGCTACTGGGGACTGAGGTGGGAGGATTGCTTGAGCCCGGGAGGTAGAGATTGCAGTGAGCATGATTGCACCACTGCATTCCAGCCTAGGCAACAGAGCGAGAGCCTGTCTTAAAAAAAAAAAAAAAAAAAAAAAAAACAGAAAGGGGGCTAAGTCCACATGAAACGGGTGGGTGCTTGTAGAGTTCAGGGATTTCTTTGCTGTGAGTGTTGCTGGCCAGGGAGGAAGAATGTTCCTGGGTCCATGTTCAAGCCAGGCTGACAGCTCTGCCCTGTCAGAGTCTTGGCGATTTTATGACCCATGGGCTTTATGGCTTGTCTGTTGGAAGAACCTGCTGCTTTCAGTGGTCTGGGTGTCTGTACGCATGTGTGTTTGTACTTCCTGAAATTCACTTTGATTTTGTGAGGTGAGCAGCTCATCTTCTTCATGGCACTTCACCTTTGTTGGTCAGAGATCACTCCCCAAGTCACCTGGTCCCTTCCTTTTTCAAATTGTAAAGGTCTTAATCACACAGACTTCTTGGAGAAGAAAAGTGGGCGGGAGCATGTGAGCCAGCACTAAGCCTCCCGTTGTGTCTCTTATCCTGCAGCACTGTGACTCTGATCCAGCATTTGAGCTCTGCCTTTTGGTCACTGCCACCAGCAGCAGCCCAGGCTGACTGGTTTGACAGTAGCCATTGTGCATGTGCTTAGCTGGGGCTTTAAGCTGAGAGTTGCCTGGAAGTGTCACTTTGGAGACTAGTCACAGCTTGTAGAGTTAGGGGAGAGTTAAGATCCTCTCCATTTATTTTAGAGTTTGGAGTTTCAGCTTTTGAACCTGCCGTTTGAACTAATTTTTGATAGTAAATTCGGTGTCTATAAACAGCCACTCTCACCAACTCAGTGCTCCCTGGAGGCTCAGTTTTCAGACTTCTGTTTTTCTTTTCTTCTTCTTTTTTTTTTAAATCAATTTGGGCACCTTTTTTGGTGTATCCAGAGTAATGTACATGAACATATCCTTCATATATCTATATATTTCTAAGCAGCCCCCATAAAAGGCTTTGGGGCGTTTGGCTGTATTGCCTCCTGTGTTTTCTGTGTGGTTTCTTTAACAACCCTCTGACAATGAAATGTCAGCAAGCCTCAGTTAGGAACGCTGAAATCTCAGCAAGCCTAAGTTAGGAACCAGAATCCATGTTTTCAGAGAATGAAATCATTGTTGGGGGAGGGGGACATGGGATTTGCCCATCATTCATTCATCCATTTCTTCAGTAAATGCCTGCACAGGTGCTCTGTGCCTGGTGCTTGCGAGGAGATGACAGTGAGGCACACAGATGCTGTTCCCCAGGAGCTCATGCCCCATGTAGGGTGGCACCCTCTCTGGGAGTCCCTCAAGCTGCCTGAAGATTTGTAGCCCAGTTGACGAAGTTACTTGAGTCTGTCTGACATTTGAGCTGTCAACATGCTGGGCTTCACTATAGAGAGTTTTCTCCTTTTAAAAACGGGAGAAATATCTCAGTGTCATGGCTGTGTCTTTGGAAGGCTTCAGAACAGGTTTCTTCATGCCTCTTGCTGTGCATGAGCGCTTTCGGCTTTGAGTCTCTGGCTGTCAGATGCTAACGTGCCTGGTTTCTCTTCCAGCTTTGCCATCGTCATCTGGGGCGTGCTCACACAGAAGAAGCCGTTTGCAGGTGAGTGGAGGTGTAATGTGCTTGTCTTTCCTGGAATAATGGGGGGACACCTTGTTGTCCTTTCTCTATCCTAAAACAGAGCCCGTAATCCACGCCGCCGTAGGTGCTGCTCTGTGGTGTAATTTGCACGCGGGAAAAGGCACAGGTCTGAAGGGGCCTGTTCAATGGAATTTTTGTAGGTGCCAGCTAGTTTTCTTTGTTATTTTTTGGTAGTAAAATATATATATAACATAAAATTGGTCATGTTAGCCACTTAAAGTGTTTAATTGAGTGACATTAACTACATCGGCAGTGTTGAACAAGCGTCACCACTGTCTAATTCCAGAACATTTTCATCATGCCAGAAGGCAAAGCCCATGGCCATTCCACAGTCCCTCTCCCTTCCTCCTGCTCAAGCCCCAGCAACCACTCATCTGCTTTCTGTCTCCATGAGTTTGCCTGTGCTGGTATTTCCAACTAATTCTTTTTTGTTTCCTTTAAAAAAAGTAATAAAATACACATAACAAAACCTAGCATGTTGACTGCGTGAAGCGTACAGTTCAGGAGTGTTATGTCTGCCCACGTGCTTGCACAGCCAACGTCCACAGCCGTTCAGTGTCATGGATTCGCATGCGGAAGCAGCGCCCCTGCCCAGCCTGAGAGCTGTGCTGTTTCCTTCCCCAGCCAGGCAGCGACCGTTCCAAACACCATCCTCAAAGTTGTCACACCTTGACTTACTTATCATAAAAATCTAGGACTTTTTAGCTTTGTTGGACAGATTCCCTTTTCCTCTAAAGGCATTTCTGGGCTACTTATGATATTTTGTGGTGTGACCGAAAATGTCTCAAAATGAAGATGAGAGTCAAGGCCTACCCCCTTGTTAGTTGGGGCTCAGACTAGGAGCTGATGTATGGGAAAGGTGATGGGGCGAGAAGAGATCTTCTCAGCATCGCAAGGTCAAGTATCTTGGCAGCTTTGAAAGAATGCCAGTAGAAAGCACGGAACACGTTCTGCCAGGCCTCTGCCGGCCGGTGTCTCTCTGTGTTGCCTGATCACCTGTTGCCTTTCTTGCCTTCTGTACGTTCTCCCACACAGTGCCTACGGCCCGAATGCTTGTGAAATGTGACGGTGTCTGATAGATGAGGGGGTCTGATAGATGTGACACCCGAAGCTAGGCACAGGGGACAGATCAAGGCTCAAGTCCCTGTGCTTTATTGCTGAATATGCCTAGTGTTCCTTCCATTATTGGAACGCTAAGCATGTGGGAATTATTCATATCCTACTGCTCAAGGTCATCACCAAGGTCTGATTTTTCAAATTCAAAAAGTTGCAGCCTCAGGCATAAACGGGTTAATAGATAGGAGGGGGTTCCAGGTGCAGGAGAACAAGGCCTCTCCCCAGCTTTTCCAGTCTGTGTTTGGCAGCAGGACATATTCCAGGTGTTTACGTCAGTTCACTTTCGTTTTATTTAGAAGAGCTGTTGGTTTTGGAAGTCTGAATAATCATGGAAATAGTCTGTTAAATACTTAAGGTATTTATTGCACAAGATTTAATGGGAAAGTGGAGCAAAACATCGTATGGAATCCTGGCAGCTGTGGGTGATTCTCGGCGGATTTTCCACACCTGCTGGGGCACACGGCCTCTCCAAAGAGCTGCCGTTCCACGGGCTGACGTGTTTGTATCTGGAGCGCAGAGAGGGCTGTTGGGAACAAGAAGCTTGGAGTCCACCTTGAGGGTTCCAGGCTATGCAGAAAAAAGAACTTGGCCCACTGGAGGTCACCCTGAACCCTTCCCAGTCAGGGTGGAAGTTGTGGCCATAATAATAATAGTATGCCAGAGCCCATGCATGCTAGTGAAGGCAGTCAGAAAGGACAGGTGTGGCCCCACGTGGTGAATTGAAGGGAAAGAGCCTTCCCACACACCCCAGCCCTGGTGCAGCTGCAGGGGAGGCCAGCTGGGGACCTGAGCTTGGGATTGGAGTTGGAACTGAGGAAGACTTCTTCGCCATTGTAGAGAGAGTTGGGTCTCTGTGGATGCAGGACGCTGTGGCTCCTTCATGGTGTGTGAACCTCATTCCCTTTGCTGGCTTGAGCTGTTGATGGAATGAGCCTCATAAGATATTGTTCTTCTTTGAACCTCATCTTCCTTTGGGTGGGATGCCGAGAAAGATCTCTGTGACCAAACACACTGACTCCATCTGGTAGATCAGAACCCAAGGAAAGAGGTCGATTTCAAAACCAGGAAACTAGAGAGCACGGTGCCCCGTGAGGATGAGGGTTACAGGAAGCTCTGGCTATGAAACGGGAGGGGAAGCTGTCTCCCTGGGATAGTGTGGGGATGGTCCCACCGTGGTCCCCGGCAAGTGTGTCATTTCCTCCCAAGAGTGAGACGCTGCCACCCAGCCCTGCAGAGCCCCTGACTCCCATCCTTCCCTTGGCAGATGAGAAGAACATCCTGCACATCATGGTGAAGGTGGTAAAGGGCCACCGCCCCGAGCTGCCGCCCGTGTGCAGAGCCCGGCCGCGCGCCTGCAGCCACCTGATACGCCTCATGCAGCGGTGCTGGCAGGGGGATCCGCGAGTTCGGCCCACCTTCCAAGGTGATTTCCCCAGGGTCTCCCCAGCACGGTCTGTGGGTATCACAGGAGATAGTGGTGACGGACAGGACAGGGTCAGGGACCAGGCCTGGGTGAGAAACGAGGCATGTAACAGGTGGGCCGAAATGAGCCCTGCACAGATAGGTTGGCCCCAGCACCTGGCTGTGGCCTCTGGTACTCAAGGCTTGGCCACAGCAGCTGGAACTGAGTCGCCTCCAACCATCCATCCCCTGCTCCCCGCCAGGGCTGGGCTTGCTGCCCAGAGGAGTCTGTATGGGAGTCTGAAGTTCAGGTGCAGCCATGCTCTTCCCGGGGACTCACCTGGCTGGTGGCTGGAGGTGTTGCCCTTGGGGAGTTGACTTCCTGGGACAGATGTGTCTCTGGCATAGGAAAGTCACCCTGATGAGATGGAAACTGCTGCATTTAAAGCTTACGGCAGGAAACAGGATGAATGGGGAGCTCCTCCGCCAGGTGCTGGCAGCTCTGCTCCCTGCAACTGGCAGGTGGGGCTTTCCCGGGGAAGGCTTCTGCTTTGAGCCTGGTGAGGCCTGCAAATGATTACCAACGGGGGGCCTGGGTTTGGCCAGCAAATCGCCCATGTAGGGCCCCTGGGCTTGCCTGGCGAGCTCAGCCTGGGCCGAGGCATGTGAGAAATCCCCCAGCTTGTGGAGGCCCCGCCTGTGTTTAAATGGAAGGCTTGTGTACACAGAAGTTATCATCCGAGTGACATGTCCCCTTTCTTCCCCACAAGAAATTACTTCTGAAACCGAGGACCTGTATGAAAAGCCTGATGATGAAGTGAAAGAAACCACTCACGACCTGGATGTGAAAAGCCCCCCAGAGCCCAGGAGCGAGGTAACGGGCCCTTCCCACAGGGGTCTTTTGTCTCCTCGGCTTCCAGGCAGGCTTTCCAAACCACTCCTCCTCTCTGCAGACTCCTCCGCGCCCGGACCACTCTCCCTCTCTTCTGAGCCCATCCCGCACCCAACTCCGTTAGAAGTGTAGGTCCCACGGGGGCTCAGGTCCACCTGCCCCACCTCCTGTCTGTGATTCTGCATGAGTAATGTAAGGGCTTCCCTGACACTAAATAGCCACTCATTGGATGTGCATGGAACCTCGGGGATCAGAAGGCCCAGCCCCAGACAGGGAGGGAGAACTGGTGTCGGTGTCTTTGCACCTCTGGTTCGGGGATCCAGTCCCTTTATAGCTGCTCATAAATGGTCTGTACTCTGATGAGTGCCACCTAGGTGATTTCAGATGTGATAAGAAGTTCCAAGTGCCAGGGCTGGCTAAATACCCTTTCAGGTGATGAGACTGGAGCAGACCTGTGAGGCAGAGCTAAGTGAGCTTTATAACGTGTTATCTGGTGTTGGGCAATTGATCTCAGCCTGTCGGTGTGAGCTCAGGAGATCAGGAAACATGTAGGGCGCGCCCACTGTCTCAACATAAAGTGCGTGCGTGCCAGTGAGTCTGGGAGCAAAGGTGCCTGGGGGTTGCTGGTGAAGAGGCAGACCTGGGCCCTGATAAGGGAAAGAAGGCAACCAACATGTGGGGGTGGCTTGGTACACCCAGCAACAGTGCGGGACATTGAGCCGTCCCACAGAGGGTGGGGATTTGGGGCAAATAGGTGTGCCTAAAGGAAGAAATGTGAAATCCTGTCAGATTCCACTTACCCACCAGAAACCTGCTGCCCCTGCAGTCCCTGAAGCGAGACCCTTTAAAAGGTGTCATTGGTGTGCGTCGGATTGGATTATCCCTCATCCTTGTAGCCGGGCCCTTCCCCCTTCCCTCCTCCCCACACAACCCCCAGGCCAGCCCCACGTGGTTCCGCGGAGGTCACAGTTGTAGCCACGTGTGGGGGTCCTGCCCAGTTCTTGTCTGTCCTCTCGTTTCTGCCAATGCTGGCCTGTGCTGGGCAGCTGTGTCCCGCCACGCATGCTTCACACTCTGCAGCTTGACATTGCCTGCCTTTTGTCTGGGTGACGCTGTGCGCAGTGCTACTGAGCAGATGGCATCCAGAGCTGCATGAGGCTGGATTTTGCACTTTTATGAAGTCGATCTTTCCTTAAAATGTTTCTGGGCTGGGTGGAGCCAGCGCAAGTCTTTGTAGCTCCAAGTCTTTGAGCTCCCTGGCGCTGTGCGGGTGCGTAGTCTGAGCTCCCCGGCGCTGTGCGGACGTGGCGTCTGAGCTCCCTGGCGCTGTAAGGACCGACGTGGTGTCTGAGCATCCGGGCGCTGTGCGGAGGTGGGGTCTGAGCTGGGGGACCGATAGGTTATCTGTGTTGCTTCCAGGTTCCGTCCTTTCTCCCCCACCTCCCTCCCATGGCCCACCTTGCTCTTCCGTGTTTGTGTCATGGGCGGGCCATGCAGGGTATGGCAGGGTCTTCACCCATCCCGTCTACTGCATCTTCGCAGGTGGTGCCTGTGTCTGCCAGGCTCAAGCGGGCCTCCGCCCCCACCTTCGATAACGACTACAGCCTCTCCGAGCTGCTCTCACAGCTGGACTCTGGAGTTTCCCAGGCTGTTGAGGGCCCGGAGGAGCTCAGCCGCAGCTCCTCTGAGTCCAAGCTGCCGTCGTCCGGCAGTGGGAAGAGGCTCTCGGGGGTGTCCTCGGTGGACTCCGCCTTCTCTTCCAGAGGATCACTGTCGCTGTCCTTTGAGCGGGAGCCTTCGACCAGCGGTAAGTGGGGACGCTTCTTTGTGTCCCGGGAGATGCTGGGCTCGGCGGGACAGTTGACGGGACTCAGTGAGCAGCTAAACGGAATCAAGGGGAAGTTTCTCGACCCAGCAATAATTCTTCTTTGTGTTCTCTCTGTCTGAAGTAATTAATTTTGGGTGTTGGGCATTTGGCTCCATCCTGTGTCGCTTAGCATATGTGGGGAACAGGCCACATCACCAGTCCGTGCAACAGTCTTGCCTGTGCCAGTGCCATGGGTAGAGGCTGACCTCTGGTCTACAGATTGGAAACCCCATCCAGTGCAGTGAGCCCGGCGAGGAGCTGAGCCCCACTCCCTGGCGGGCCTCCTGTCTCCAGGATGGCAGTCCCACAACCCTCTGCTCAGATGCTGCTGGGTACACACCCATGCCTTCGCATATGTGGGCTCCCCATTCACGGTAGTCCAGGCCTTGTAATGTGTTGGTTATCCTTGGAGGTTTTAACACCAGGCCACCTTTGCAAATCTCCTGTTAGGGAGGAGCACTTCTCACTTAGCGAATCTTATCTTTTTATGTTAATTTTGATGGCTTTTGTTTTTGGAAGGTGCTTTTTTTCCTATCCCTGCCCCAGGGTGCTGGGCCTGGTGGTCATTCTGGCTTCCTCTTTGCCAGCTGCAGTGGTAAGATGTGGTCCTGCCCTATTCCTGAAGGGGCTGCAGCTCTGATGGAAAATACAGGGATTTACACTCAGGGCTACAGCCACGGGGGCTGAGGGCCAAGGCTGTGATCTTGTGGGGAAGGAGAAGTTGGCTTTTCCTGGTGGATTGGTACATCCTCTTGGAGGCAAAGACTTTTCCTGGATCTTACAGACCTCCTGGGATTTTTAGATTAGAATACTGGGGGCAAAAGAGGGTGTCTTGGGTTAAGGAAATGCTACATAGACACAGTGGGGAAGACCTGGTGTGACGGCAGATAAGCAGTAGGTGATGGGGTTGAGGAAGAGAGTGAGGGCCAAGTCTAAGACTGGGCAGAAAGAAATACCACCATCTCCCATGGAGAAGTACGTTCTAGAACATTCTCTTTGGGTCTAATACTCTGAAATGGCATATTGTCTTCATGCTTGAGAGAGGATTATTTTACTGGCTCTACTCGGAATACCAGTGTTCAAACACCAAGCCTGACTGGGAGGGTTCCGTTTTCTTAACACCTTAGCACCGCCACCTTCCAAGTCCCCATGTGTTTCACATGACGGTGGAGGAGAGTCTCATTTCAGGGACTCAGAATTCCAGGCACTACAGTAGGATTTTTGTGGTAAATGCAACTTTTCATCCTGAGTGCTGGACTAACGTCTTCCTGAAACAAGAGGCTCGGTCCCTTCAGGATTATCATAGCAAACTTCCCTCTTGACCTCCCCAGGTCAGGAGGTGCCACTTCGAGGTGGGGCAGGAGCTGCAGCAGCCCCTTCCAGCTCTGGGCACCAGCTCTGCAGGCTGCTAGGCCTGGGGTGTCCGTGGATGGCAAGTGCCAAGGCTTCCAGGCGAAGGGGGCTCCGGCCTGGTCTTTTAGTCTGTGCCCTTTTTCATTCTTTCTTTAATGAAGGAATGTTTGCAGTCACTGCCATCTCTAGGCACCAAGGGGGTTCAGCACCCCACAGGACAGCGAGAGTGGGTTTTATTCTGCAGACCAACTAACGAGCACCTGGAAGACATTCGCTGGCCTGCCCCGGGGCTCCCACTAGGACTGACCTTAATCAGGAGGCACAGATAATGCTCAAACATGGTCAGGTGTCCAGTGAACAGCCTGGAGGCCTTGGCACTCCTCCACCTGAGCGCCACAGCCAGGCTCCCAGAGACGCTGCGTCCCTGGATGTGCAGCCGCGCTCTGACGCTTGCCTCTCCTCTCCCTGCAGATCTGGGCACCACAGACGTCCAGAAGAAGAAGCTCATGGATGCCATCGTGTCTGGGGACACCAGCAAGCTGATGAAGATCCTGCAGCCACAGGACGTGAATCTGGCGCTGGACGGTGGCGCCAGCCTGCTGCACCTGGCGGTGGAGGCCGGGCAAGAGGAGTGTGTCAAGTGGCTGCTGCTCAACAATGCCAACCCCAACCTGACTAACCGGAAGGGCTCCACCCCGCTGCACATGGCCGTGGAGAGGAAGGTGCGGGGCGTCGTGGAGCTCCTGCTGGCACGGAAGATCAGTGTCAACGCCAAGGACGAGGACCAGTGGACGGCCCTCCACTTTGCAGCCCAGAACGGGGACGAGTCTAGCACGCGGCTGCTGCTGGAGAAGAATGCCTCGGTCAACGAGGTGGACTTTGAGGGCCGGACGCCCATGCACGTGGCCTGCCAGCATGGGCAGGAGAATATCGTGCGCATCCTGCTGCGCCGAGGCGTGGACGTGAGCCTGCAGGGCAAGGATGCCTGGCTGCCGCTGCACTATGCCGCCTGGCAGGGCCACCTCCCCATCGTCAAGCTGCTGGCCAAGCAGCCGGGGGTGAGTGTGAACGCCCAGACACTGGATGGGAGGACGCCCCTGCACCTGGCTGCACAGCGCGGGCACTACCGCGTGGCCCGCATCCTCATCGACCTGTGCTCCGACGTCAATGTCTGCAGCCTGCTGGCACAGACACCCCTGCACGTGGCCGCGGAGACGGGGCACACGAGCACTGCCAGGCTGCTGCTGCATCGGGGCGCCGGCAAGGAGGCCGTGACCTCTGACGGCTACACTGCTCTGCACCTGGCTGCCCGCAACGGACACCTGGCCACTGTCAAGCTGCTCATCGAGGAGAAGGCCGATGTGCTGGCCCGGGGACCCCTGAACCAGACGGCGCTGCACCTGGCTGCTGCCCACGGGCACTCGGAGGTGGTGGAGGAGTTGGTCAGCACCGACGTCATTGACCTGTTTGACGAGCAGGGGCTCAGCGCCTTGCACCTGGCCGCCCAGGGCCGGCATGCACAGACAGTGGAGACTCTGCTCAGGCATGGGGCCCACATCAACCTGCAGAGTCTCAAGTTCCAGGGCGGCCATGGCCCCACCGCCACCCTCCTGCAGCGAAGCAAGACCTAACTGGCTGCCTGTGGAGTCCAGGGGTCCGTGTGGGGCTCTTGTCCTGTCTTCCTCATGGGGATGGAACGATCCTGCGTGGGGCCCTGTTGTGGCTTGCCTAAACATTGACCAAGCGGAGGTGACATGGTGCCATCGGGAGGTGGCTGCTGCTGACCGGAGTGTCCCCTCCAGGCGAAGCTGGCTCAGGTGCATGTGCCCGCTCCATCACCGATCTAGGCACCTGCTGTCTGAAAGGACCGTGGGTCAGAATCATTTCGTTGTGCTCCTAATGGGCTGCTGAGGCTGGTCTCTCAGTGATGAAGCCCCAGGCGAGGAAGCATCCACTCTCTCCTGAGGCGAGCCATCTTGGGCCGCTGGAGCTCACCAGTCTTGAGGGAAGAGGTGCAGGAGAAACTGTGTTTTTTATCTTCATACACAGCAGTGGACAGAGAGGCCTGTCTTAAAGTTTCCATGGAATTGTTTTATAAAATATCTTAAGAGATGAATGCCTTATCAGCTGCTGCTTGAAACCTGTTAAAAATGTTCATAACATTGGATAGTCTAGTCTGTAAATGATGACTAAGTAGTGGGGTTGGCTTTGAAAACAATGTTTTATGCAACAAGGAGTGAATGGTAGCAGCCAGCATTGCGGGACGTGTGTGCGGCCAGCTCTTAACCATTCCAGTCTGTTACTTTGGTGAGTCCTTGTGGACAACCACACACACATGCTCACATGGTACTAGCTGCTGTTCATTTCTCATTGTCTAAGGTGTTTTGGGAACTCTAGAGCCATAGGCATAAGAGTCATTAAAAAAAATTCTCCATTTGTAACCTCAGTCCTGGGGACTGAGGCGAGCCCCCTCAGGTCACTGGAGTGCACCAGTCTTGGGGGAAGAGGTGCAGGAGAAACTGTGTTTTTTATCTTCATAGACAGTATGAAGATAGAACTATGTAGTATTACCTAGACATGGACAGTATTACCTAGGTAGATGCACTGCTCATCTGCGTCCTTTCCAGCTCTCATTTTTGGTAGGTGATTTAGGATAAGGATAGTGTTTTGGGGTTATAGGGGGAGGGTTTCTGACCTGCTTTGCAGACGTGCATCCGCACCTCAGCAGTTTGGGGTGTGGCCCCAGGGCGGTTATTGGATGTAAAAGATGCGGCCCATCTAGTCTCGCAACTTAACTATTACCTGTGTCCCATAGGGTGCCTTCCTAATACTGTTATTAGAATAAGTTTGTTGCAGAACATGACCCTGTGTGCAAACATGTACCGTGGCCTGGTATATGATAGAGATTGATATTAATGTACCATGTATGTTAATGTGAATCTGTGGGCAGGATACTTTTCCATGACAGGAAATATCCAAGCTGTTAAAACTGGCTATGTTTTAATATGCCTCATTTTGCCTTTACTGTGTTATGCTACTATTGTGTGGACTGCATGAGGGACAAAAAGTTCCATTTGGTGTCAATAAAGCAAAGTACTTGCCTGCTTTTTTGAAGCTGGTTGAGACTGCTTTTTCTTATCAACAAGCTCATGTAATCTGATTTCTGAAAACCAAAGGCTTGAGGCAGTGACAGAAGCTTGCAGATGGCCTTCTGGAAGGGCCCCTGTGTCCTGAATTAACCCAGGCCGTGGGGCCGTGAGAAAGCAGAGGGTGGAGCTGGGCGTTGTCCTCTGCCTGGGTCCCTCCACACACGGGTGATCCAGTCGGGGAGAGAAATGTGTCTGGATGAAAGCTCCCAACACTAAAGTTTTTATTGAAATGTTATAGTTCTTATGTTCTGTATTTTGAAATATTTTCATATTGCAGAAAAGTGACAGGAATAGTACATAGAACTCTGGTAACCCTTCAGCCAGATTCCCTGTTTGCTTATATTGATTGCATTTGACTTTCTCATCCACCCACCTACCTGTTTGAGAGTAGGTTGCAGACAGTGTGCCTGCCCTGTTACTCCTAAATACTTATGTGTACATTTCCTAAAAGCAAGAGTTTCTCCTACATCACCCACAGTTTACTCATCACATTCAGGAAATTAACATTGGTACAATATTACCATCGAATCCACAAATTATCTTCAAATTTTGCTAATTTTATCTCAAAACTGTCCTTTATAGAAGAAGAAAATTGAAAAACACAGCAGCACCTCTTTTTTTTCACTCTGGCCTGGGACCCCATGGTGTTTCAATTGCCATGTGGCTTCCGTTTTCATCAATCCTCAGTTCTGTCTTCTCTTTTCTGACTTTGAATTAACTTGTGACATGAGGCTCCTTCATGGGTTCATTTAGACCTTTTGGGAAGTAAAGCCAGTTATTTGGTGGGATGTCCTCAGTTTAGGTTTATGTAATTTTCCTCAAGATATGGTTTAGGTTACACATTTTTGGCAGAAATACCACAGACATGATACTATGTACCAAGGAGGGCTTTTTCCTCTCCCACTTTTGTTTATTTACATCAGTATGCAGTCTCGGATCCCTGTTTAATCGATGGGTTATACTCAATTATTCTGATGGTCAGGTTAGCCCTGATTTGGCTGGTTTGGGCACCTCTACGCAGGCTCCTGTGCCCCCTCACCTCCCATCTTTCTCTGAGTGCTTTCTTGCTTTCTGACACAGTTCCAGGCCCACCTTGTACTTACTTCCCCAGCCTTGGAAGCAGGCATTTCTCCAAGGAAACCATTTCTCTGAGTGGAGAATGGTTCTTAGATGCCAAGATCTGGGTGCTAGAGGTGCTCATTGTTCCTGGGCTGTCGTTGCTTCTAGGCCCTCAGCAGACAGACCTAGAAAGCTGTGTGTGACTTATGCGAATATCACATATACATTTCTGTGTCTTATTAGAAACAGATTTCACATCCATGCCTTCAGTTACAGCCCAGCACCCCAGCAGTCACTCCTGCTGGTCTGTATTTGTATCTCTTTTCTCTGGCTATGAGAGCCATTCCCATCATCCTCAAAACACACACATGAGGTCAATCAAGGTGTGTGATGATCTCCCTGACACACTGGTGGCCTTCTTGGCTGCGCCGTGCCTAGTGACCCTGTCAGCCGGGCTCCCTGGCCCTGCAGAATGGTGACTCACCCTTAAAGATTTTTATGCCAGGTAGCGATGCCTAGGAACTGTTTCTTACTAAGACTGTCATTTGGCTTAATTTCCCTTTTGTTTTTTCATTTGGGAACCTACATTATTTCCTTGCCTGTCTTGAAATAGTGATAATTTAACAAGCCTCCCATTTTTCTTCTTCTTTTCCCAGAAAATTCGGGCATTTTTCTTCCCCTCTGATTCCTATTCTGTGTTTTTTCGTTCAGGAGCATCTTCTGGTTTGAGGATTGAATGCATTTTTATATCTTCCACTTTAGGAAAAGTCTGCCCCTTTGTTCCTGGGAGGAAATGAAAGTGGGTCTTATGCTTCACATGCTCTACAGTTGTTCTGGGGCCAAGGGTCTTTTAGTACACCCCTGGCTATTCCCTCCAGAACCCCAGCCCTGAGCAATGTCAGAGAGATGATGACAGCCTGCGTTCATCAGCTCTGACATGTGGAGATGGTAGGTTCTAGGAGAAAAGTGGTTCTCCCTGGCTGGGGCAAGCCAAGGTGCAAGACAGGTCCACATGCGCTGACATCCAGGCCCCCAGACCATTTAGCTCACTGCAGCCCTCCCAGTGGCCGGGGGATGAGGTCAGGACCAGGGGGATGTGGTGCCAAACTCCCCCTCATTATTGACTGGGATATCCAGTTCAGGTACCAGCCAAAGAGTAGTAGTGGAGGATTCCACCCAGGCTTCCCACTCTGCCCTGCTTCATTCACACCTCTATGACACCAGCTCAGAAAACTCCTGTCCTTGCGATGCTTTCTTCCTATGCTCCTCCATCCTCAGCTCCAGCCAAGTCAGAAACAGCCTGCTGGGCTCAGATGCACCAAGATTTCATCGTCAGCACCCCACCTAGACCCACACCTGAAGCCACGCTCTTGGAGAGCAGAGGGGAACACCTGACCCATGATTGGTGTGTCACTTCTGGTTCCATGGTTTCAGTACCCTGTCCTATAAATCTTAGGACTTTTTGGGCCCCACTTAAGAATCCTTCTGAAGTCCCTCTTGAGCAGAGGGCAGTGTCCAGTCAACCTCTTGGTGCTTCACCAAGACGGCTGACAGCACCGGGACCTGTATACCTGAGGGCTTCCTTGGCAAACAACTGGTTTACCCAGACTGTTCCACTCCCAGGCTGTTGAACCAAGGGTTGCCATCTTCTCCCAGGTCCTTGAACCTGACTGACCCCAGTACTTAGGGGACTTTGTTTACCAGGACCATCCACAGTGCCAAGGTTAGTTGCTCATTTCAAAAGAGTGGGTGTGGTGTGTGAAGGCCTCCTACTGGCACTGCAGAGGGAGGGGCAGGCACTGGCACAAGGTGATATTTGGAAGACAGATTCCCTGACCCAGAGGTGACACTTTGGATGCCAGGTTCTTGACATCTTGGACTATCAACCCTGAACAAATTTTCCTTCCTCCCTCATTTTGTCCTTCTTTCTTCCCTCTCTTCCTCTCCCTCTCCCTGCTTCTCCCTTCTTTTATAACTAATTGTCGCATAAGGTCAGGAGTTCAGAACTCCACTGCACGAGGCAACGGGCCCCTGTTCTCAGGTGCCTGGGCTCTGACCTTCTCTGCACTGCACACCTGTCCACGGACATTGATGTTCAGGAGGGCAGCGGTACCAATGTTTACTGCACAGTGAGGAGGCACTAAGTGGCCAGTCTGTTCCAGGAATGGTGCTAGTCACTGCTTTAGGCCCTGCAGGCAAATAATAATGATGATAATAATAATAATAAGTACTGCTTCATGAAATCCAATGTCAGAAATGGCGGGATCCAGATGTTCAGTGTCTCCTTTCCCTGTATCACCTTTAGTAATGGGTGAGCCCTTTGCAAAATATATCCCTGTCTTCTTGTCTCCAAGGTTAAATGGCCTGAGGATCTCAGCAGAAAGAGAACTTCTTTCTCCCAATAGTTCCCCTTTCCCAAACTCCAAATTAAACATCGTTCATAGTTTCTTAGATGTTATTTTTTCTGCATTCTAACAGTTATGAGGGAGTCAATGGCCTCTTACAATAGTCATTGGCAGCATTTTTTCCTGTTTTGGAGGTGATCAGGACAACAGTACATTTAGAATTCATGGCACCTCAGAATGGATGCAGTGTGGTGACCCCGCAGCAGGTTGCGCCCATCCCCCAAAGCCAGCATTTCAGCCGGGGATGGAGGGTTCCAATGGCCCGGGCTGGGCCAGGCTGGCAGATGCCACCCTGAACGTAGAGAGAGGTGGTGGTTTCCCAAGGGAGAATCAGGAATGCCGTTCCTGGAAAAGGTGGCCCAGAGGCCAGTTGTCACGGCCACAGAAGTCCCCACCCAGGATCCCTCACAGGGGCCCTATGGAGGGCTCAGGTACCACTGGAGAATGACCTGGAATTGGGTGTAGAACACATGCATTTGCTCAGAAAAATGGAGGACTCCCTCATCCAGGGTGTCTTCCTTCTGAATCATGGGATGTTCTGGAAGGTTCTGGAAGGTCTGCCCAGCAGTGAAAACTGTGCACAGCAGCTTTGAAGTCATAGTGGGTGGGTCAGAGTGAGAATCTGGGACCACCCACTGGATCCGTCAGAGGTGAGGGAAGAGCCCCTGGCCACAATCCTTGGTGAAGTTCCCAAATTGCATCCAGAGTGAGGAAGAAAGTCATCTCCACATGCTGAACTCCAAGAGAGTCGGGGTAACCCAGGGTGGGACCTAAGAGAGTGCACGCTTACTAGAAAAGGTCATGGCCCTGAATGAGGGTGAGCCCTGGGATGAACAACCCCCTTGCTCAGCTGGGCACCTCAGCTGGCTTCAGGAGTCAAAAAACCTTCCGGAGCCTTCCAGGTAACTGCAGTGGCCATGATGAAGGTGCTCAATAAAGGGTCTGTTTCCTAAAGAAACACGCTAGGATCTACACGTAAAATGTTAGCACACAAAGGAAGGAAGTTTAAATTTAAAAAAAAATGCGTTGGATGCTGAATTAAGAAGAAAATGCTGGATTAAGAAGAGAAAGTGGGGAAACCGGGGGGTGAGGGGGTGGGCACGATGAATTATTGGCTTCTCATTTCTCCACACAGCATGATGTAAACCCAACAGTATGAATGTACAGCTGCATGGAGCTCTTCAGAAAGGCATTCCCCAAAGCATGAGCAGGGCTGGCCCCAGAAAATGGTACTCAAGGGTCAGGGGAGGACCTCCCTTTACATTGTCATGTTTGGATGGACCTCACCCCTTGGAATAGAGCCTGGAGGTTTCAGCAACCTCAGCCCCTCTGAGGCAACCCAGAGGAACCTGGTCTCTCTGCGGTGTCTTCCTTACTCCTTACATCACTGCCTGGTCCCAGTGGTGCTACTGGAAAAACTAGACTCAGGGAGTTGGCACCTGGCAGCTCTGCAGGTGGGGCTGGTGGGGAGGCTGCCCTTCTTCCAGGAGAAAGGATGGGGTGGC